TTACTGTGTGATTAAAAAGACAAACATGAGAAGCAGAGTTTCAGCCACGTTTTATTGAGCCATTAGAAAATGCGTAACAGTACAAGGTTTGGAGAAAAAAAAAAAAAAAAAAGGGGGTTTATGATTTAGCACTTTTCACTATTTTACACTTGTTCATGTTGTGAGGAGACTTTATAAATACCCCATCCAAAAAAAAAAAAGACATATCTGGCATTAATTATACCCAAATACTCCGATGTTAAGCATAAGTCAATAGAGAAAAACCCAGGCTAGCTGCAGGTTAGCATAACATATACATATGTATAAGTCTTACATCCGGTGCAAAAAGAAATGTATGGTATATTTGACATTTAAAACAGTGACTCAAAGTGGGAAAAAAAACAAAAAGCTGCACGTTAGTGTAGCTTAGCATGAAGACGGGACAAATAAAAACCAGCACAATTATAAATTTAAGTGGCGAGGAAGAAAAAAAAATATTATTTACCGACTAAAATAAGTAAAACCAATTTTAAAACTTGTAAGAATATGATACTGATTTCTAAATATTATCTAGATGTGTAATGCTACCAGTTCCTTCAGCTAAGAAACCAACAAATCAGTGGTTTCCATCTACTTTATCTATCTTAAGGAGAATATTATAACACATAAATATTGCTTTAAGGATGTGCAAATAAAAGTTTTCTGTCATTTAAAAAAAAAAGTATAGTACTGGTTGGTTTTATGCTCCCAGGCTTTATTGTGCCCCATGTGATTTATGACACATAATCTGAAAAACATGTTTTTCAGCTTTGCAGCTTATTTTCCAAGAGTACAACCCTGTGGGAACACAGGCAGGTCAGAGATGAGGTTAGAGTTGAACCATGACCTTGGGTCAAATAGAAAATCTAATAAGGGTATCATTTTATGTTTTTATTGCTGCTCCATAATTATCCTTTGTCAGTGGAAAACGGATATTAATTAGATATTTTAATGAATCATAAAAACATTACATATGTCTTGCAAAGATAAAGTAAATGTTCCCAAGAGTCAGGATTACAGACTCTAAGGAGATATTAAAACTCCCACACACACCAGAAGCTTCTGTTTAGTAATGTAAACAAAAAAGCCCCAAATATATACAAATCGTCATCAAGATTCTATTTTCTGCCAGTTCTCATAGCTCGGATGGGATTGAAGCAGATCTGCAGGGTGCAGGCAGCTGAAAAGCTTCTCGCCTTGCATCGTGCACACACCACATGAGTTTTAGGTGTGTGCATTCATATATAGAAGCATAGATCAGCCCCAGGACCCTGAGAACTACTTAAAAATCTACATTTCTGATTTATCTAAAGCCATTTTAGATCTTTTCATTTAAACACTTATGATTGTGTCCTGTTTTTTTTAAATGTTTTTTATCTTAAAACCAATTTTCATATTCAAGATGCGCAGACAAGTAAATTTTTTTCTTTTTACTGGAGAGCACATTTCCTCTTTGTTTTGGATTTGCTCTTGGCGTTTCCTCCAGGAACCTTCTCCCTCACCTTCGCTGCCAGCTGATCAGATAAAACACGAAAAAAGGTTTACAAGTGAGACTCAGTTTCTGTAAAGTTCAAATACACATCTACCTAAAAAAAAAAAAAGAACTTAACACTTTTGGTATCCAAAACAGAAGTTAGATAATCTGTCAGCAAAGGCAGTTCCTAGAGAGGACTTAAATGTTGAAGTATTTTTGAAAAGAAAGTTTATTAACCTGTTCAACATCTGGAAACTGTTTAGTCTCCAGCTTCGAGTAAATCAGCTCATCCCCCAGTGACACCTCAAAGCTGTCTGTGGTGAAAAAGAAAAGCCAAAATTAAGCTGCCTGTTAGACAAATTAGTCTGCACAGGAGTCATCTCAAAGTTTTATTTCCATATTTTATTTTTTTTAATAAAGCTTTTCTGATATTCTGAGGAAAAAAAAAAAAAGAAAATGCAGCCTACCTGGCTTCCCAGTGACTCCCTTTACCTTCATACCAGGAATCTGCCGGAGAACTCCAGCTAATTCCTGGTAGCGGTATGCATAACTTCAGTCTTTACTTAAAAAAAAAAAAAAACAGATATGTGCAACTAAAAATTTTAAATTGCATGACTTTTTGAAAGAAGAGGAAGTGGGGAAAAAACAAACTACTTACCAGTACTCAATGGTGACAGTTGCCATGGTTTAGCAGTAGAGCTGAGAACAGTATGAGTTCCTGTTAACTTACAGCTTAGATGAGAGGAATGAGATGTTCAGAGAAAATTTCTATATCAGACAGTAAGCCACGCCTGCTGGAGGCAGTGCAACCTCACTCTGCTTTTATAAACCACCCACGCTTATTTGGCATGTCTTCAACCAGCCAGGCTCTTAGTGGCAGTATTTGACTAAGGCAAAGAAGCATTGCCTTTGACTTCAGAAATGCAAATCTCTCACATCTACAGCAGAGCTCACAGATGAGCACCTGCGTATAATTAAACAGGTGCACGGGCGATCACAGGAGCCGCGGCAGAAGGTATTGTTGGCAGATTCAAATACCAGCCCGTAATTTCAAAGACGGGCTGCAGAACACAACGGATCCATTGTCTCCTCCTGCGAGCATCCAGATATTTTAAAAGCTCATTCATAACCCAGAGTTTTACAGGTTTGGTAACTAAATAGCAAAGCTAAAATTTGCATGCTTGTATAAATGCATAGGTTAGTCAGTAGAAACAGAAACACTATAACGTATTAACAATTGTTTTGTTCAAAAAAATATTGTATCCAACTTAAAAAAAAATAAATAAATAAATAAACGACTGCTGGGAAACCAGCCGTTATGCAGCCATAACTGGTGATCAGCAGGTGAAACATCTAGCTAAAAGAATAAAGTATTGGAGGCCATTTTTAATGCTTATATAGTAGAATAAGACACCTCAGTTTAAGAAAATAAAAAAAAACAAATAAATAATTTTTAAGTCTGATTGTGATGTTTGACATTTTATTTGTTTAAAATGATATTCAGTAAAAAATGTATACAGTAATACCCTTGTGTTCATCAGTTCCCCTGAATAAAATAGTTAAACCTGCTCAGCTCATGCCACATTAACTGTATCTATAAGATACACTGGATTGTATTTTGCTCATACAATAGCTGATGACAAAGATATAGCAATAGTACCTCTGTAACAAAAACTAAAAAGCAATATTCTCATGGACACACTTTCAATACAATAAATTCACATACACTTTCCTGTAAAAGTTGCATTGCAATCTGCCCATATATCCTTTTTTTTTTTTTTTTACAAGAATGAGATTTGTGTATTTATTATCATTAGCTAAAAGACAAAAAAGATAAAAGTTTTTACACATTTAAAAAAAAAGAAAAAAAAGGTGATCCGGTGGCAATCTGCAAAGTTGCAGCAACTCGCCGTCAGTAGGCCCCCCTCCGAAGCTGCTGTAACAGATCGAAAATGCACTTGGTTTTGATTTTTTTTAAACTTTTTGTGGTAAAACAAGGCAACTTTTCAAAATAAAGCCTCTGCAACGACACCGTACCTGTTTATCTATCCAGTTTACATCTAGCATACATGTTCAAAAAACGTGTAGAAAATATTTTAAAGGCACATCGTGTAACTTTTGGCCACTAGGGGAGCTAGATCTGTAACTTTCAGGTCTAGCGCCCCTAGTGGCTGTGGTGTTAATGTTGTGCATGTTTTAAAACTACAAATGGCTACCTGTGATGACATCGTAAAAGAGCATCAGGTTCAGGTAATCCAGGTGACACCGAGGCCGTTTCTCAATTCACAAGAACGCGAGCACGGACTCGTGTCCTCGCCAAGTATGTTCCTAAGAACACAGGAAGGTGTGGACTCTGACCCATATTTATGCTGCGTGCTCACGTTCTCCCAATTGGAACAGAAACGTACCGATGATGTCACCACACGCTCGGCTAGTCTGAAGTTTCTTTTTTCCTCCTGTTATTAATAGTCTCTAGATAATAATAAATTCTGACTTATTTTCATTTACTGGGGGAATAATAATGAACATTGTCAGAAAGACTCAATTCAAATGAACATTTTGCCAAATAAAACAAAAAACTCGCCATCGCAGCCAGAGGTCGTTCACACACGGCTATGCAGAGAGAGGGCTGCTGCAGACGGGCTACGATTAGACCTGGCTGCTGTTCCCCTCAGAGGTTCACTGCTTGCTGCGGTCCTCTCAACTTTGGAAATTTCTTTTTAAATTAACCATTAAATCAGTAAATGGGCCATGTAGTGAAACTTAAAAGTATAATGTTCTCACCTCAAATGATCTTAAATGTACTATTATTGAATTGCAATAGAAAAGAGAACTTTTAACTTAAAACTCTGAGCTCTTTGAGCGCTAACCTGGAAGCTGCTGCTGCTGCAGTGCATGCTGGGACAACTGTCAATCTCAAGAACAGACGAGTCTGCTCTGATGCATGCTGGGTAAAGAGGGAGGGGCTGGAACAACATCTGGGGACTTTGTCCATTCTCGGTCTGCTGGTCTTGTGAATTGGAACAGTACTAGGGCTGAGACCGATGACATTTAACGAGTACACAAGCACATGAGAACGCACAAGTACACATATTGAGAAACGTCCCAATTGCCATGGGAAGCGCATGCTGGACGTTTGGTAATCCTCAATAAAAGAACAACGATGATACGGTTTGACTCAGCGAACTCTAACACGAGGTTGGGCAGAAGCGCAGCTTGTCGAGGACAAGGGTAGGTGTCGATGTTCAGCTTGGAACTCTGCCCGTCTCTGGAGAGCACCACCAGGGCAGGCAGGACCATGCGGCGGACCAGAGGCGGCGCTCTAGTGAACAGCCACTGGGTCGGACGGGGCGTCTTGGTTAGCTTTTGTTTGTAGCCTGCTAGCTTTCTCCACCCGTATTTTGCTTCTACTAAGCATCAAAAATAATAACAAAGCTATATACTGTATACTAGGAGCAAAGTGTTTACTTACTAGACTAATAAAGTTTAGAAAACAGAATCTGTTTTACATCTGGCTTCTTCTTTCAGCCTGCGCCAACGAACAAACTCCTTCCCAAGACAGACTCCTGTTTTTCCTTGATCTCTTTCACATTTTCTCTTTCTAGCCTCCTCAGGTTTAAACTCTTTCCGTGCCTCAGCCGTGACCAGTAGTCGAGCAGGCACAAAAATAGTAGAGCTAAAGCCTTAGCTGCATGACTATATAAGAGCCTGTGGCCGTAAAGCTACACGTTCTTCCAGGTCACATGACCTGGCCAACGACGGTGCATCTTCTCACAACTTACATAGGCGGCATTTCAGGAGTAGAGCCCTACTTGTAGCATTGATCGTGTCAATGGCTGTATATTGGCCCGAGGAATCATTTCAAATAACACATGTGTCAACTCTTCAGGTGGAAGAAGTCCACGGTGTGCCTTTAAAAATCTCTTCCCCTCCTCGCCTCTCCTGGTCTAAAAACAAAAGATTAAGAAAGCAGACATGTTCCATATCCTTTTGGTGGAACCTACAAATACACAACAGTCTGCATGCATGAGAAACACAGCGGCAATTCTTCCAGTTCAGTGGCTTCACCTTCCTGCTCCTTGGCTTTACTTAAATTAGATTAAAAACAAAACAAAAAAAGCAATGTCCTTTCACACAAACGCACCCACAAAGTGTTTTACTGATCACAGCATCAATTTCATTGATTGTTGGGACTCTTTGACTCCGCCCCCTGAGCTGGGAGAGTCATCCTGTGGGAAGGTAGCCTTATCTGGTGTGTAGTCATTCCTCTTTAGATCTGAGAAAAGAGAAGTGAAATCAAACGTGTTAAACCTTATAAAAGGTAAGGAATCACAAACATTAGACGCATTCGGTGATTCAAGTTTCCTGTCCAGTCAAACTATCAGCTGTTTTAAGAGCAGATGCTAAAATTACTTCAGTAGCAGCAGTGCTTTTTTTAATTTGTCTTTTGCTTTGATCCATCCAGTGGCCAACAGCTGCAAAGCAGTAAACTAAACCATCTGCAAAAACGTGATGCAAACTCCACATCACAAAAAGAAAAAGAAAAGCGCTGAAAACAAAAAAATGCATAATTACTAAAAATATTATCAAAACAAATGCAGATAAAACATGCCGCAACCAAAATCAAAAGGATCTGATAAGTGACAGAAAATGATGCAAATAGTAAAAACAGCAGAAAACCTCATCCTCAAAACAGAAGTGCTCTAAACCCCTTGAAAGAGCCGAAGTGAATCGGACCAGACCCTCCATACAAACAGGAAGTCAGGCTTTAACGCAGACTTTTTTAAAAGATAAAGTTGGAGGAAGAAAGGAACGTTATTTCTCATTTTATTTTCAAATACACATTCTTACAGTATTACAGACTAACATCATAGTTATAAATATATAACAGTTACACTGGCCTAATATGGTTTGTTGTTTGTTTGACTCCCTCTAGTGGTCTGGAGCATTTCCTCTTTGTTGCGTGAGTTAGCCGTTTTTAATATTTGCATCATTTTCTTCCACTGATTGGATTTGTTTTATAGATGGTACGTTTTTGCTGCCATTTCATTTGGCGTGCACATTTTTGTCCTGAGATATTTTGCAGTTTGCCTCACGTTTTTACAGCTCGTTCTATCGCTCGCAGCACGTTTGCACCTGTTGTCCACCATGGATTTACATAGTATTAGTTAAAAGATGCCATGAACAGTTTAATTGGCCTAGGGGAAAAAATGAAAAACATTGAAAATCGACCTGATCTTTAATGACTGTTTTTAAAGGCAGAGCCCTCTGACATCAGCTTTCACATCAGGGAAAGAAAAAAATACTACTCGTTAGTAGTATTTAACCATCTCTACCTGGAAGTTTGAGTTTCCGACAGCAGGAGTTGCAGTGGTGTTTAGTACGGAAGTTTCTGATGGCATCGTCTCCGAGGTTGGCAGGTCCAAATATCATGTCATATGATCTGCAGATGCATGTGTGCAACATCAGCAGGAAGATTACAGCACTTTTAACTTGCTCAGTGTTAAATTAGAAGTCGGAGACTTGATGTAAGAGCACTCACCCTTTCTCCCCACTTTTAATAACAGATGGATCGGTCAGGATCTCTCCAACGCCTGAAGAATGTACCGAAGACAATCGGCATTAGTGACAATAAAAAAAACCAACAAGATCTGAAAGAGTATGCAAGTTTTGTTTTTTAGCAATGGCTAAAATGGCGTTAAATGTTTTCCTGTCTCACCCTGCAGGTCGAGCACCAGCAGTTCTCCACGGGTGTACTCGTAGGTCCAGTGGCTGAAGGCCAGCATGGTTTCCTCCAGGAGGTTGGTGGGAACGATTTCGTCCCCATTGTTGTTATTGAACTTCCTGAACTCACCGGTGATACACTCTTCTATAGCAAACCACTGGCCAGCTGAGTGGCAGTACAGCAAATACACCTCCAAAAACCTGAACACACAGAAGGACGCTCACCGAATCAGACAGCCAATCATTGTAAGGATCAGAGAAAGTTACAATAACTTTCCTCCAGAGAAAGTTAAAGTAAGGATGCACCGTTCATAGATTTTTTTAAAAAACTGTTCTGCTGGTTTAGCCTTTAGACCAGGCATCCCCAAACTCGGTCCTCAAGGCCCCCTGTCCTGCAGGTTTTAGAGGTTTCCTTGCTCCAGCACAGCTGTTTTTAATTGAAAGCTGATTAACAGGCTTTTGGTCTACTGCAATCATGATAACCAGCTGTGCTGAAGCAGAGAAACCTCTAAAGCCTGCAGGACAGGGGGCCTTGAGGACCGAGTTTGGGGATGCCTGCTTTAGACAATTATGATTTCTCTTAAAAAATAACTATAATAGCAAAATATATGTTCTCTTTCCAGAAAAATAATGTTTGCATAAAATAATCTGACTTTTTGGTCCTAAAAAAGGAAAATTATTTAAAACTGCTCTGAACTTCCACACTGAAGAGTGTTGCGTCACCTGTTGGCGCTTGTTTAATGTTCATAAATATTTTTATTTTATCCTTTGTTGATCCCATCCCCTTTTTTTGACTGTTAACCTGTCGAATGGAGCTCTACTGATCAAAGACTGTCTGCTTTAAATATCTGAAAGTAAAATGCCATCAGTGTTAGGATGGAAATTTGTAAAATGACCAGAGTTTAGCAGCCATTATTACAAACAGCAAGTAGTAAAAAGCACATTTCAGAAATGAATTAAGGTGTAGATGTTGGATATGAGGCTCCTTTCAGAACCAAGTATTATTTAGGCAAGCTACAAGTTTTACAAGTAAAAACTAGCACAGATAGAAGCAGGAAGAAAATAAAACTAAATATGGGACGAGTGAATAACAAGGTTAGTCATGCTTTGTCAACTTTAGAATCAGCAGAGGATCAGGATGTGGAAAAGATTAAAATGAGGTATTTTGTTTGTAAATACTACCACACCATACCATGACTCTGAAAACGGATGTGAAGCAGCTTTGTGTAGAAATGTCTGCTTACCTTGGTGAGTACGGGATCGTCTTTGGCCTGATTTGGTTGAAGGCAAATGTCAGCTTCTGAGCAGCTCGTTGTTGTTGAATCTCCTGAAATTATACAAGCAACCATGAATCCCAAGATTGAATGTTTAAATTTTTGTGACAAACAAAACAAAAAAACACTGAAAATGGAAAGATGCCACAAAGGTTTGGTGTTTTGACGAAAGAATTTGGGTTGAACAAATTCGCCAAAAAACAATATTGTATTCCATAAAAGTAAAAAAAAATCCACTGGACTTGGTTTCCAAGATTTGAAGACGTTTCGCCACCTCTCCAGGAAGCTTTCTCAATTCAAATGTCTGGATCCCGGTAAGTTTGAGTCTATATATAGACAAGGCCTTGTATTGCTTGGAAACATGCAAATGAAAACAGATTGGTGGGTCGTTTGGTTCCATTGTTAGCCTGTAATATCTGAAACCTGTCTATGATTCTGAAGGTCGGTCGTTAAAAGGGGGGGGATTGTCGTTAGAGGGGGGGATTGTCTCCTGTAATACCTGAAATCTGTCTATGATTGTTAAGGGTAGGTCGTTAAGGAGGTATTGTTCACTGGCTGCAGAGGGGAGGTACTTTGTTCCTCTGTGATGGGGTGGGGGGTGTGGTGATATCTGGAAGGGATCATCTCTAGGTCAGATATCCAGATATCACCACACCTTATCACAGAGGAACAAAGTACCTCCCCTCTCCAGCCGGTGAACAACACCTCCTTAACGACCGACCCTTAACAATAAACAACCTGTTTCAGAAGGAAAGCTTGGAGCTCCGACCACCAGATGACGGCCGACCAGCTCCACCAATCAGCATCCTGAGTCCATTTTGACATTCTGCCCAATTGGATGCTGGTGCTAAAACATTTCCTTATTTATCAAACTGATGCCAAAGTAGAACTTCACATGATGCTCGACATTCCTAATTTTAGGGAAGAAAGTGTTTCTTGTAGGAGTTGTCATAAAAAATTTCTCGTAATTGTATGACTTTATTCTGGTAATGCTAAGACTTTATTCTCGAAATAGAAGAAAAAAAAGTCTGGCCCAAATACTCCGTCATACTTCACTGGGTTTTAGTAAAGAGTTGCTTTTAATATAGGTTCCTACCCTGAGACAAAGATGCAACACAGTGTCCTCTTTGTAGATGCTCTGCCATGTCTGGACCACCTCAGGCAGGAAGGACTTGACAATGTAGAGATGTCCAGGCTTTAGAATGTCATACTCTGACCAAGTACAGAGGACCTTCAGAGCTCGTCTGAGACCACCACCCATCTCCTCCTTGCTGAGAAATTCAATTTTGGCACAGAGGCCCCGCTGGGCCCAGGAGGACATGCTGTTGTTGATGGTGTTGGGAGAGCTTTCCTCCAGACGGTACACTGTAACCGGCTCCCCTGCAGCAACACAAGGCAGGAGGTCAAAGTTACCAGTCTGTGCCAATCACTTCAGTCATGCTTTTTAATCAGTCATGCTATTTAATTCTCCAACCACTTTCTTAAAAAACTGCTAACCTAAAATATTTTACTCCATGATTAACTGAAATTTCACCAAACATTTGCATTTTACAGAGTATATATATATAGACATTTGATATTTCTTTGTTTTCCTTACAGCCAAGACATCAGTAGAGGTGAGTTCATGTTAAAAAATTTTTTTCAAGATTAGTTAATTCACTTCTGCAGTTTTCTACAGGCGACCAGAGAGCAGGACTCAGGATACAGGGAAGTCGGTTTGTGTTATAATTTTAAAGTAAAGCTCTGGTCATATTCAGAATTCAAACTTCTGAAAGTACTTTAAATATGAAATTATTACATACTGTTCAATAAATGATAAGTGTTTTTAATTAAGAGTAATTTTCACTTGAATGTGCTTCACTGGAGACATCCATGTTTGTCAAAGAACACTACTGCCAACCGTCGGTTGTTGACGTCACGGTGCGGGATCGGCTGTTGATCCAGTCCCAATGCTCTATTTGGTGTTTGTCACAACCCGCTATTATCCAAGTCATCTTGAAAACATTCTTCTTCCAAATGTTGGTTAAATATTAAGTCTTTTTTTTCTCTGGCCAGAAGTTCAATAGCAAATCCTCCCTCTTGAAGTTGGCAATCCAACGATGAACCCGTCCGTGAAGGATCAGGAATCAGAAAGGTGAAAT